ACAGGCGCCCGCCACAATGCCTGGCCATTTTTTGGTTGCAGCCATCATTGTTGTTTGGCGGGCCCGGGCTGGGGATTCGAAGCGCCACCACTTGAGCCACAGGCACCGAGCCAATAAGAAAGTTTGTTTCTGTTCTCAATCAGTGTAAGCGAGTAAGATGACTTACATTCATCTTCATGATATTAATTTCAAAATGTCAAATTCTAAAGATGAGGAAAACTACCATGTTAGAGGATTCTTACCTGTTTCAACACATCTAATATAAGCTCATTAAAGACTTCATGAATTGCCATAGACAGTGACTGACGATCCATGCCTTTGCTAAACTTTCCATTTCCAATAAGCTCAATAAGTTCCCATACAGAAAGGCCATCTTTACTGTCATCAAAGTTGATTTTATAATGTTCAAACTGTTCTTGCTGCCAGCCTCCTCCCATAGCTTCTGTAAGTTTCTTCAGCAGGTATTCGATCTACAGAAAGAATAAAAAAATTATTTCCTAGTTTAAAAAAATGTTTTAACGTAAGTATGAGTTTGTTATTCATACTGATATGGTTAATTTAGGAAATATTCCTTAGAGTTCCAAAAATGCCTATCTTTAAAGAATCTCCTACTGTCAGGGAGAGGGGTATAGATAAAATGCCACTAGTTCTATATCAGCCTAGAATAAATAAAAGAATCAAATACTGATAGCCTTTTAGTAGTATGGTATCTGCACACAGAACTAAAGCAAACTGCACATACACGACCAAATACAAACCAATGTGATTTGATTACTCCTTTAAATATTTCAATACATCAGAACATTAATCTTACAGAACACGTAAGTGCTAAAATAAACATCTCAAAGTAGTACGTACAAATTATTGCCCAATTTATAAATTTCCCATGTAAACCAATTATTCAAAATTCATGCTCCTTTCCCCATTAGAACACTGACAATGTTGTAAATGATGGTTGGATTCCTAGCCTGAGCTGGAAAAGCTTACTAAATCCTGAAACCTTCATGTAGAAAATATTGTTATTGAAATAAAAGCAGTTAAACAAAACAGTTAGGCAGTAATACTGAATAAGAAATTGACATCTCAGCTCAACACTTGTGGCTCAAGTAGCTAAGGCGCCAGCCACATACACCTGAGCTGGTGGGTTGGAACCCAGCCTGGGCCGCCAAACAACGACGGTTGTAACCAAAAAATAGCTGAGTGTTGTGGCGGGCGCCTGTAGTCCCTGCTACTTGGGAGGAGGAGGCAGAATTGCTTGAGCCCAGGAGTTGAAGGTTGCTGTGAGCTGTGATTCCACAGCACTCTACCCAGGGCAACAGCTTGAGGCTCTGTCTCAAAAAAAAAAAAATTGACATCTTATCTTCTGGAAGGTATCTCATGATGCTCTCAAATTCAACATGTCCAAAAATGAATGAATGATCACTACCTTCCAATGGCTTCCCCTTGGTTTCCATTAGGAACCCCACCATTTGTATGTTTATTCATCCCAAGATTCCTGCTCTCCACTCCCTCATATCAAATCAGTGACAAACTCCTGGCCATTTTACCTCCCTAGATGAGTGTTTTTAAAACTTTGGGTTGTGGCCCACTATGAAGTCAACTTAGTAAGTTGAAACCAACTATTATTATCATTTTTTTTTTTTTTTTTGGCCAGGGCTGGGTTTGAACCCGCCACCTCAGGCATAGGGGACCAGCACCCTACCCTTTTGAGCCACAGGCGCCACCCAAAACCAATTTTTTTTTAATGAAATGAAAAATGTTTGAGTTCATCCATAGTAATGACTCATGTTGTTTGGGTTAAGTTTTCTTTTGTATACACATGTATCTATGTGTTCTAGGTCACAATGTAAAACATTTTATCTTCCTATGTGTTGCAGTCAAAAGAGAATGAAAACCTTTGTCCCAGATAGTTCAATCCATCCCTCCTTTTCCACCTGCCTTTGGGCCTTTTAGTCAGTATCCTGCCTCCACTGCTGGCCCATTTTATGTAATATATTCTTCAAAGGGATTTTTCTAAAACCAAATCTGAGCCTGATGCTCCCCTCTTTAAATGCTTCTTTGGTTCCCCCATCACCTCAAAGGTAGAGGCCAAGCTTCTAGGAGTCCCTTGGTGATCACACCCCAGCCTACTTTCTCAATATGTCTGCCATTATGCTTCACCTCAAATTTTACACTCCACCAAGACCACTGATACCATAGACTGGGGGTCACAAATTTTAGCTATAAAGGGATGAATGGTAAATATTTAGGCTTTGTGTCTATCACAAGTTCTTCATTGGTTTTGTTTTTAAAAACAATCCTTTAGAAGCATAAAAACTATCCTTAGCACAAAGGCTGTACAAATATAGGCTATGTTCTGATTTAGCCAGCACCTGTAATTTGCCAACACTTTCCATAGATTATAAGTATCCTACCCACCTAAGATACTTTTTATGCTTCTATGTCTCTCCCTACTCTGTCCTCTATACATTTTCCCAATTGTCTACCCACTAACTGGTATTTTTTCAAGTCCCATATCCTCTAGATTCCTACTCAAAATGAAGCATGTGTTCCAACAGCCTTGACATTACCTGGAAACTTGTGGGAAATGAAGACTCTCAGATGCCACCAAAGACCCAAAAATCACAACCTGCATTTTGACCCGAACCCCAGGTCCTGGTATGCACCCTAAAGTCTGAGAAGCACTGCTGAGCAACCCTGCTCTGGCCAACCCTAATCCAGCTCCTGCATGTCACTGCACTTACCGTGCTGTATTAAAATTGTATTTTTACTCATTTGCTTCTTTCTCCACTATTTTCTGAATTCCTGGTAGAAGGGACTATGTTCTATACATCTTTGAATCCCAAAAGCTCAGCATGGTACCTTAGAATGTAACTGTTTGCTAAAGGAAATGAACTAAGCTAAGTTTCACTTTTCTGATCTATGAAATGGATGTAATAATACTCACCATCTAGAACTCCTATGGGGGTAAAAGGGGGACAAACAGACCAATTTGCACGATGCCTGGCACACAGCAGGTACTCTTATCAATGTTGATTCCCTTCTACACTGAGTGGAATGTTACTCAACCATTTAAAGTTACATTTAAGAAAGCATATTATGGGGTGGCGCCTGTGGCTCAGTGTGTAAGGCACCGGCCCCATATGCCAAGGGTGGTGGGTTCAGGCCCAGCTCCAGCCAAACTGCAACAACAACAAAAAAAATAGCTGGGTGTTGTGGTGGGTGCCTGTAGTCCCAGCTACTTGGGAGGCTGAGGCAAGAGAATCACCTAAGCCCAAGAGCTGGAGGTTGCTGTGAGCTGTGAT